GTATTTTTACAGTCTTTATTTTACAGTTAAAATATATGTTTATTAAATAAAGTCTAATGTTACAACTAATCATGTATCCTTTAAAACCCTTAAAGTGACTCATCACATGTAACAGTTTATGGAGACATCTACATATTTTTCATTGATAATTGTCAACACAACCTTTAACAAAGGAATGTTTAGTTTTATTTTTTAGTGTTCCTAAAGTCTCATCACTGAAATCCTGGTTTCCTTTATTTTGTTTTTAAATCAGTTTTTGTGTGAGGATTTCACAAGCAGATCATCATGGCTCAAGGGCCACATCTGGCCCTCTGACCTTATTTTGGTCGTGTTTTAGACTTTYACTTCTTTTAATTTTTCATTTAATATGATAATAATTGATCTTGCATAAGTTGTGTTTCTTTTTTGTTAATAAAACACACAGGTGAAGTACAAGGGTGACCTGAAGAAGATTCACAAACCTGTGACGGACATGGCCGAGTCTCTGTCCATGCAGCACAGCCTGAGCACCAGCAAACTGTCCAGTGACGTAAGACATCATCATCACCATCATCATCATCATCATCATCATCATTAACCCTGTCATGTCCCACTCAGACACCCTCAGTAGATAACGTGAAGCCCCCCACCCGTCAGTAACAGTAAAACAGTGACATCATGGTTTAAACAGATTCATCCTAAAACATTCATTATTCCTGAACTCGTCTGGTAGTGATCCTTACCTTCCATCCTTCTCACCTCTGACTTTATGTAACATCTAATGCTTTGCTTTTTCTTCTCGTAGTTCAGATTAAATTAGATTAATAATCACCTAATAATTTCTCATTTCCGACCACTCCTTTCAGTTGATAAAGTCAGTTTTAACTTTGTGCTGTGTGACGGAGTAAACTCCAGACAGACACTCTTCTTGTTACTGAGCTGCCTTGCTTTACTGTAGTACCGCTACAAGAAGAAGTTTGAGGAGAGTAAGGGTCACTACCACATGATCCCAGACACACCAGAGCAGCTACATCTGAAGGAGGCCTCTGAGCTTCAGAGCAACGTAAGTGGGACCACCTCAGGGCAGGGGGGGCAGCAAACACCTCACCTCTGCTGAATATTGTACTGTAAGCTCTTGTTTCAGGGGTGGGCATGGCTTCCTTTGGTAAGGATTTAAGTTTAAAGGCTGCACACCCACAGTATGTGACCATACATGGACGTTTGCTTATTTTTGTCTGTTTGCTTACAAGACTTTAAAATCATAAGAAAAATATAATAATTTCATCCATTTTGTAGTTTTTAGATATATATTTTTTAATTCATTTGCACTTCTGGTAACTGTTACAGTACACTGTATGAACAACTTAAAAAACATCTTTATTATTAAATCTTGAAAACATGTTTTGGTGTAAAGCAGGGGTGTCCAAACTATGTTGTACCGTTTTTTATTGGCCTGAAAATACAAGTGAATACATCCCGCACAAGAAGCAGTCCGTTTATTGCGGAGCCTCTAGCTCCGGCTCTGAGTGTCTGATCCAGAAGCAGAGGGCTTGTTTTTAAAGTTCTGGATCTGCTCTACAACCTGGTGGTGGGTACAAGTTCCTGGGACGTTTCCCCGCGGAGAATATGCGGTCAAATGTCAGCGGGCGAGCTCCAGCAGGCGAAACGGCCAAATTTCAGCCTGGGGCTGCTGGTGCTGATGCAGGGGAATAAGAGGAAGAGATCCAGTCAGGTGGAACTGGTCCTGGATGCTGAGCACTGGGTTTTATAGCCGCCTGCCTGCTAAAAAACCCCTCGGGCGATATTTCTGCAATAGGGCAAAAAATTCAGAAACCCACCTGATGGATCAGTTCCAGGCATTAAAAGGAACAGATCTGATCAGGTGAAACCGGTCCTGGAGGCTCAGCACTGGGTTTTATACCTGCCTGCCTGCTGGAGCCACTGGCGGACAATATTTCTGCAAAAATGCCTAAAAATGGATAAAAATCACAAACCACAGTGACCTTATGCCCAATAGGTGAGTTAGAAACACACACATTACTGATGTATCAATATGTCACTTCCAGTGTGTGGCCCGGCCCTTTGTTTATTTTTCTGTATTTGACCCTGACTAAAAAAAGTTTGGACACCCCTGGTGTAAAGAGTCAGACTATGGGATAAATCTTGTGCCAACAGGAATTCAATTTGAATTGCTCAGATTGAATCTGAGTGTGTATAATTTTAAACTGAATGCATTGGTTTGAAACTGAATTTAAAGTTTTGTATCTGAATTAATTTGCTTTGAAACTGTATTTTGGTTTATTAAAACTTCAGTTTGACTACTTCCACTTTCAGTTCCATAATTCAGATTTTTGTGTCACATCCTGGTCCTTGAGAAAGCCAGGCAGAGTAATCAAACACAGATCCACAGATTTATGTTTCACTTTGGTGAAGTTTCCCTTCTGGATGTAACAGAGTTGATGCAATCCACTGTAAAAGTGACAAAAACACACAAAGTTATTTTATTGCAGTGATTAATTTGACCTATATGTAGAAAATGTTACATTTACATCACATCATGGATCACATATTGATCAGATGCTGCTGCTGACTGATCCATGATGCAAATGTAACATTTTCTACATATAGGTCAAATTAATCACTGCAATAAAATAACTTTGTGTGTTTTTGTCACTTTTACAGTGGATTGCATCAACTCTGTTACATCAAGAAGGGAAACTTCACCAAAGTGAAACATAAATCTGTGGATCTGTGTTTGATTACTCTGCCTGGCTTTCTCAAGGACCAGGATGTGACACAAAAATCTGAATTATGGAACTGAAAGTGAAAGTAGTCAAAGTGAATTTTTAATAAAACAAAATACAGTTTCAAAGACAATTAATTCAGATACAAAACTTTAAATTCAGTTTCAATTTAATGAAATTTATTTTCAAACCAATGAATTCTGTTTAAATCATACACATTCAGATTCAATCTGAGCYATTCAGATTCACTTCCTGCTGGCACAAGATTGATCCCATACCAGTTCAGACATTTCACATCTGTTTGGATTTTGAAAATAAGGACACAAGTTTGACACATTCACACAAAGCCGAGGAGGTGTTTTGAACATTTTGACGTGAGCTGTTTTGGGCCATTCCAGGTTAAGTACAAGGAGAAGTATGAGAAGGAGAAGGGTAAACCCATGCTGGACTTTGAGACGCCCACATACGTCACTGCCAAGGAGGCCCAGCACCTGCAGAGCCAGGTAAACTTTCTGTTTCCAGCTCAGCGCTAACACCTGCTCAGGCTTCTGTTCACATCCAAATACTCTGAAAGGCTTTCTGCTTTGCTTTCTTCTTCTTTGTTCTTAAGCTTCTTGAATGTCYGCCTGTTGCTGTTATTGTCAGTATTTCATCAGCAGGTCATTTTCTTCAGACGGTTTCATTCGTCACATTTTCTGTCTGGATCAGCCTGAAGTTTGAATTATACCTAAAGAGAAAATTAAACTAATTATGGTTTAAGTGATTGAGCTGCTTTCTCACAAACTCCTCACTTTTTCAATAAACTGTCTAAAGTGTCCACCTTTAGAGAAGATATGATTGCCGACAGGGATGCTGATGCTGTGTGAGTCGGCCCTGCCTGCATGTGCTTGTCTCAGCTCTGTCTGTCTTGTGTTTGTGGCCACTAGAAAGACTATAAGAAGGATTATGAGGAGTACATGAGGGGTAAAAACCTCTCGGGCTTGGAGGTCACCCCTGCCATGATTCATGTCAGGCATGCCACCAGAATAGCCAGTGAGGTAACGGAAAGACACTTTATCCTGTTGACTTTTACCTCACGCACTAAGACTATACCCCATCTCCAGCCCCTCTTTTCTTTCATCTCTTCTTTTTTTAATCGTACATATCTTTTTTTATAATCCTGATCTGAGCTGATGGTGTTGCAGTATTTACTCACCTTCCATCAGATGCATGTTTGCAGCAATTTGATTTTAAAGTTGAGTCACTGACACCTCCTCATTTCACTGTCAGTCCCTCATCTTTATGCAGCGACACATTTTATACATGCATGCTGTTATCTGAGTGAATCCCTAATGTTTTCAGTGATGTGCTGACTTTATTTTCTGTTTGTTCCTTTTCTGATCTTTCTTTTTCACTCTTTATCTGGTAAACTGTGTTTTATCTGGTGTGTTGTCAAGATTCCTGCCAAAGTCATCAATTTCTCCACTTTCTCTGTGGAATCATTGATCATGGGGATTCTGATGTTATCAGTCCATGAAATGGACGTTATTAGGCGTTATCAATCCCATACAATGGCTTCAGAGGGTCCCTACTGTGCCTTCTAGGCTTCAGACTGTCCCGACAGTGCCCCCTAGTGGGTTAATATATCAATGACAATGAATGTGTAAATAACCAAAACATATTGTAATAAATTTTTTGTGTTCGTGTTGGACTCAAACACTGATCTCCCGCTCTCTGGTCCGACACTCTACCCATTGCCCTGTTGGGAGGCCACAATATACAACCGTTAGAGGGTGGTGTCTTTAGTGATAATCATGTCATTTGCTCTAAAGTTAACCTTATTGGCTTTAAGCCTCATATTAACCAGTTTTTTAATGCCTCATATTAACCAGATAGTGGTTTTATACCTCATAATAACCAGCTGACAATCAGAAGCCATTCTATGGGACGGGGAACCTGCTAACCTGCACAGGCGGGACATTRTGAAGCCATTCTAGGGGACTGATAACACCTAATAACGTCCATTTCATGGATGATAACATGCGAAGCGGGTGCATTGATTGTAATAATATTCCTCAGTCAAAGTCCAGGTTCATTTATCTTTAGGAGGTTTTGGTGACTTTGAGTTTAAAAGGCAGCCTGCAGAGTTTGTACTGTTGTCTGTACAGTGGGGAAATAAGTATTTCATTGCTGCTTTTGCAAATTTGCCCACTTACAAAGACCAAAATTCCTCCTGACGTGTGCAAACCTCATCGTCAACTACTTTAACTGTGCTTGTTAAAAACGATTTTGCCTCAATTACTTATTTCTCTCTGCAAAATGGAAATAAATGTAAATAATTTATACCAGAGATTCTTAACCTTTTTGAACTCGGGGTCCAATTTGTTGAACACAAAGTGACACGAGGCCCAGTCAGACATTACCAATGTATGGATCAAAATGATAATTACTATAAATGTTGGTTTAATTTTTATTGTATTTACATCATAACTAAACTATCATAACTATCATAACTAAATTAAATACACTTACAGTTTAAAAGTAAAACTCCTGTCAAATAATCACAAGACATGATTATAACAAACATTTTATATTGTAACCTGCCAAAACAAAGACAAACAAAAAAAAACAAAAACAAAGGTCAGTCAACAGACCAAATTTGGCAAAAACATGGCTGTTAAATAAGCAGATTTGTACTCATAACTGATGAAAGTAAGGAGAATGCTTTATGTTTTTTTTAGTTTGTAGTTTTTGTTTTTAATGATATTTGGGTAATTGGTTTATTGTTTTTACATATGTATGTAATTTTTTTTACTAAATTGGCTAAATTGGCATGTTTGATTTTACTAAATCAAACATGTTTGATTTTACTAAATCAAACATGTTTGATTATATCAACCTGTCCAGAGATGCAGGTGGAAATTAGCCTTCTTTGCTATAACCTGGTACCATACATCTGTCCTTGTAAAAGGTTAATGAAATGTTGTACATGTCTCTGTATAAGCA